GAAGAGGGTTGCCACAAAATCAAAGAAACACCAAGAATCTGTTTAGCTGTCTCAGTGTGAGAACACAGCGCTGTCAATATTTTTCTTGGAATCTTAAAGATTTAGTGCTTGGGGAGTGAAATCAGGTTAAGCACCCACGCTTACCCTTTCATTCACACTTATTCTTTTTGCAATTGTTTTTGTATGGAAAAATTAACTCTGAGCTACAGTGGGTTTATGGTAGAATAAAACTTATTGTTCCTGCCTACTTCCCTACATTTTTCATGCTTCTTGTGGTGAACAAATTTTATTTACATACCGAAAAAAAAATTGGGGTGGGGAAAAAAAACCCACAGATTTCTTCTGGTTAAGAACTATCCAGGAATTCGGCAAGTAGATAGTTCAAGGTCTTCTGTCAACTGGTTTTTATAGTTTTGTTTTCCAAAGCCTGGACACATGCTGTTATCAGTCAAGGGTCATTACTCTGGCATCTGAAAATCCTTACTCAGCGCTTTCCCTTTCCAAGATGCGCCAGACCTAGCAGGAGGCACACAGTCACCTTGACTTCACCGGAGAAGACAAGCTCAGAATGAAGATGGGGCAGAGAGCTAGTGCTGGCTTTCAGAGCTATGCAGAAGGCGGCAGGACAGCAAAAGCCCACAGGGACAGGGACCAGTGCTTTGCTTCCCAAGACAGGGGTAATGCTTGTGGAGAAGACCAGGTGGGGTGAAATGGAGGGAGAAAAAAAAAAAAAAAGACAAGATGAAGACCAGTTAGTAAACTAAGCCAGGCATGGTGGCACATGCCTGCAATTCTAGCACTGGGGAGCCCTAGCCAAGAAGATTGTAAGTTTGAGGACCAGGCTACACATGGGAATATGTTTCAATACTTTAAAAATGGGTTCTTGAAAAGCCGCCACTGAAATTTTAGCATTTGCTATTTTGAGTGATGTCGAGTGAACAGAGGGTAATATAGACAGGGTAGACAAGACGGAGCCACTGAGAACAACCAGGCACAGAAACTCTGGCTAAGAGTAATACAAGCACATCACAAAGTCACATCATTTGTGCCAGTCCACACGTTGGCCTTTGGGAGGTTTCTACACAAATTATTGCAAGGATTTTCACACGTCAGTACTTTCGTTTTTAAAGCGTTTCTTCAAAGGGCACCCTTACAGGGTTTTGTAAGAATTAAAGGGTTTGCAAAACACAAAATAGAAGGCAAGGAAGCAACCATTCAAGGGGCGGGAAGGCAGGGAAGGGGAGGGAATAGAAAAGAAAATGTGTTTAGCAAAGGGGAGGGAGAAGGAAGAAGAGCAAGGAAGGGAGGAAGGTCAGGCAGGAGGGAGGTCAGGCGGGAGGGAGAGAGGAAGGGAGAAGGGCTGAAGGGAAAGTGCACCTTGTTGCTACAAAGGAAAGGAAGGCAAGATCAAGCCTGTCAGCCTCAGGTTTCCCAGCTGCCACTCCCGGCCTGATCAAAGGGGCAGCCGCGTGGCAGGCACAGGTGGCCCTTTCTCACTCTGCACAACTGGCCAAACTGGCGCTCAGGTTTATCTGCTCTTGTGAGGTTGTTTTGCTTTGCTTGAAAGAAAGAAAGGGCGTTGTTTTCCTCTCTTCACTCGCACGCCGTGACATCAGGATTTAATTAACTCTCAGTGTTTTCCTGCACTGAATGACAGGCACATGCTACCTTCCAGAGTCTGCCAAGCAGATTTTATATATGCCACACAGCTTTGTATTTCAATTCCTGATTCAGAGCCCCCCCCCACGCACACACACACACATACACATGCTCTCTGTGCTTTTGCTTGAGATAGAAATATTGCATGAATCAGCCAGAGCAATGGAAGCTGACAGTTACAGATGTTCAATGTGTCTTACAGGACCAGTTTGAGTCACATAGTTTCACCGCTCAAGTCCCCACTCTTCCTAACTCTTCAACAGTCCTCCACTTTTCTCCCAGTTTGGTTGCTATTTTGGTTTGAGTTTGGCTTTTAGAGGCAAGGTCTCAATATGTAGACCAGGCTGGACTAAACCTTTGGACTGCTTCCTGAGTGCTGAGAAGCATGCACCACCCCACTGGGCAGGATAAAAATCATTACTTCATATCTATCTGTCTCACACAGCCTGCCCCTTTGTCCTCTGGTCTCCCAACACCCAGATATCCTATCAGTTGCTTAAATGGAACATCACATGTTTCTCTATGCACACTGAATGCTCCTCTCATGCCCCATTCTGCCAGTTCATAGTCCAGTTTTCAGCTCCATTGCTACTTCATCAGGGAAATGTTTTCCAATCTTTCTGATGAATTCCTTTAAGATAGCCCTATACTCATGACTTTCTAAATGTATCACCCAGTTAAACTTTACCTATATAATTTCTAGCATTTAGCCCAATTATTTATGTAAGTTTTATGCTAATTAGATGCCTCCTGTTCCCATCATTGGGCTAACACATCATTGGGCCGAGAGAAGACAGATGTGTGCATGTGAGAAATTTGGGGACTCGGGTCTCCAAGAATGTAAGGGACTGATTGGAAGAATCCAAGCAGGGATGTTAAATGCTAAGATATTTGGGTTCTGTTTTTAAGGCCAAAGAATGAATTGTTCCTTTCTCATTTGTAGGTTTCTAGTACAGACTCGACTCCACTCGACTCGCTGTCTGAAGAAAGTAGGAAGGAAGGAATTATGGGAGGATGGTTCCTGCTATTCCTCAGGGCAAATCACTTCGCCTCTGTTCCCCAGCTGGAAGCCACACTAGACAGTTTCCATGAGCTAGAATCCAGAGATTTTTACTTTATTTATTTATTTATTTATTTATTTATTTATTTATTTATTTATTTATTTATT